CGTTTGAAGAAGTGTAAGACTGGACTAGTAAAGGTGAAAAGGTACTTCATCTCTTGGTTTTGATAGGAGTACAAGAATGGACCGTTTCTGTATTGAGCCAACCTAGAACGCATTCCGAGACACTATACGTTAGAAAGGAAATCTTGGGCAAAATCTATATTATAGGGTGACACAATTTGGAGAACCATGCCTGCTGGAGGAGGAATCGTATTATTGTCAAAGGCAATGGGTTTTGCAGAAGAGTTTTTGGAGCTGAGGCTCGATATATTTGAGTCATACCTATTTAAAGAGTTGTCACTCTGTGATGTGGAGTAAAACTCCATTGGAAGATAAGGTTGGTAGTGCACTTATCGGTTGAGGCCTTTCGATGATTGATCTTATATTGGACCTCTCCGCAGGTGAGAGTTTGGACAACCTTTAGATGAATGCAGCGTGGAAAAGGTGTAGTATGCTACTCCTAACTCCCACTCGTTAGGTGGAAGAAATAGCTGCCACATCCATTACTAGTCATCATTTGGGATCCCAGCCTGAGGGACACGGTTAAGGGATCAATTTGTTTGTTGGATGCAGCTGATTGAGTTGGGAATTTGATCAAGTGCACTGATAGATGTAGTTTGAATATGACCATCGTGGTTCACCTCAGGTGGAGGCTGTTTGAGCCATGGTGGAGTCTAGTCAGCCGCAGAGTTGATGAATTTGGAGAAGGGTTGCGAATCTCTTCTAAGTGATTGAGCCTTTGAGGCAACTTATTGGCCCTTTGGGTGACTGCACGTCGAACTTGATCCCTTGGAAGAGGAACTGCGATCTTATGATGCAGCCCGGGTTTGGATTTTGATGGGGGGGTTTTTTTGAGACCGGATTTTGTGAGTAGGCATCAACAGGTTGGAAGAGTCATGTCACATTCTCGAGTTTTGGGTCTCGACTTGGTTGTGGATTGAGTCCGTTATATCGTGAATTGTTTCACCTTGGTACTGGACACAACAAGTGAGACATTCGTATGGTTGGTCGGCTCAGTTTTAAAAAACTTCAGCCGAGTGGAGAAATTGTAAACAAAATGGATGGGGAGGCCCCACCACCTGTGTGGATACGAGAATGCGCCTCGTTCCCGTGAAGAGAAAGGTGGGGCCAGACGCCACGTGAATACAATTAAGCCGCAGAGATTTTTTTTCCTGCGTCGAACTGAGTTCAGCGATACTAAAATATCGACAGGCTAGGGTTTTCGTCTTTTTTGCGTGAAAGATTGAGAGGGGAAGAAAAGCGGTGGCAGGCAGTGCAAAAGAAGCAGAGCTTCTTGATTGGCAACGTGCAATGGCTTTTGGTGCAGGTCTTGGCGGTTGCGTGCAATAGGAGAAATAGATGTTGTCTTTTTTGTTTTAGAGCAGCCTTTTGTAAGAGATTTGAGAAGATTAATTTTTAGGTTTAAGTTTGTGAGATGTAAACCCATTTGTATGTCCCTCTAATAATAGACTCCCTCTTGTGCCAGTTGGACGTTAAAGGGCAGTGTTGTCGACACCACGGTAAAATTGTTTGTTTGTGTTTGGCTATTCAGTAATAGTTTTATGGCTTACCGCAGTCGACCAAGTATCAGATCACTAGAACTGATGAGAGGAAAAGAGCCCGATTATCCTCACTTTGTTGAGATATTCGCCTTCAGATTCTTGTCTCGCTTGGTGAGCACGAGAAAAATATCGTATATGGGATTCCATGTTCTCTCTTATTACAATATCACCGAAGAAACATACTACCGAGAATTTCCGCTGGCGACACAGTTTTTAACTCGTCCTCATCTTATTCGCTATTCTATCAGCCTACGTGTGTTACTATACGCCCACATCGCAGGAATCCGAAGTGGACAAGAACTATAGGATAGAAGTTGGTGACGATCTCAATTCATGTGTGCCCTAAGAATGGAATGAATTCTCCAGTTTTGAGAAACTGGATAGTGGTGGTGAGTGTACAGGCTGATAACTTGTGGCAGGTGTCAGCATCGCTTGAGATGAAGGAAGATTCGCATAAAAATGTCTTGACGGCACGTGGGAGTTAAATGAATGTGAGATATGTTCCTCTTTTGAGGAAGAAACTTGATCTCATTGGAGCTTTGGTTGGTGAGGGTCTGAGAATCTTCCGATATTGAGGACAATGGTTTCTCATATGGTGGAAGACTCTTCAGATTCGTGATATGAAGCGCGTCCCATGAGGAATACCTTTTCCTTACTTGACTGGAGTAATAGTGACGGTGAAGAAGTAGGCGACTTCTATTGATTCGACTAGACGTGGCGGTATTGGGGCTTGACCATTCCAGATTGATTCCTCGCATAGTTGAAGAGGAGGGTAGCAAGACCTACAGTTTGAAAATCTAGTGAATAACATCAAGTTTATGGTTGAGCAAGAGACCCATGTGAAATTTTGGCACCTCTATTCACCGTGCTAGAGGGTCGGTTCTGGAGGAGTTCACCGTGGATGGTTGAGGACTTCCAAAGGGCATCAAATTGGAGGTAATAGAAGTTTGGTTTCCTTTGTGTGGTGGCCTGTTCAGGCGTGTTGGTGTCTTGCAACCAGAATCACCCTATGGATAAAGGTGCGCACTATGAGTGCTCTAACATTTGAAGAATGTAGAGAAGATGGACAGAAAGGTGAAGGTACTTCATTCTTGGTTTTGATAGGAGGTACAAGATGGGCTGTTCTGTATTGGAGCCCAAGCTCACGGCATTGCGAGACACTTCGTTAGAAAGGCAAATCTTGTGGCATGCTATGATGGGTGACAAATTTGGAGCAACCATGCTTTCTAAGGCCGGAGCGATCGGTATTTATGTGCAAGCAATGGTTGCAGAAGAGGTTTGGGACTGAGCTCTCGATATTATTTGAGTCATCCTATTAAAGAGTTTCAATGCTGTGATTGGAGGTAATAACTCCATTGGAGAGATATGGTCGTGTAGTTAAGCTCATGTGGTTGAGGCTTGATAAAAAGGTGCTAATTGATCTCAGCAGGTGGAGATTTGGAATACCAACCTTAGATCTATGGCAGCGGGTGGGTGAAGATGTCTACGTCGAGTCCACGTTAGGTGAAGATATACTCACCAGATATTATACTTGCAAGTCTATTTGGGATTGCCAGCTGAGTGTTGACACGGTTAAGGGATCAATTTGTTTGGATGCAGATGATGAGCTTCAGGAATTTTGATCTAATGTGCAGTTGCTTGTATAGATGTATGTTTGAATATTGACCATATGGTTCACCATCAGGCAATGGAGATGTTTCACGCCATTTGGAAGGTGCTATCAGCCGCAGAAGCTAGATATGATATTGAAAGAAGAGGGCTTGCGAATCCCTCGTTCTAGTGGAATTGAGGTCCTCTTGAGGCCATTTGGCGGTGAACTACGTTCGACTTCGATTCCTTGGCAAGTGAGGCTTATAGCTAACGGGCCAACTTAATATCAGCCTCGGTTCCAAACAATAAAGCCTTCAAAATTGCCTCCTTTCTCGTTCGCTGGTGTTTCTCAGAGTATTTTGATGGGGGTGAGACCGATTTGGTGAGATTCACATCTAACGTTTGGAGAGTAGTCACATTCTCCGGTTTTGGTCTCGACTTGTTGTGGATTGATCCGTTAATCGTGAATTGTTTTCACTTTGATCGGACTCTACAAGTGAGCACACTTTGGTATGGTTGTTCGTGCGGCTCAGTTTTGAACAACAACTCGCCGAGGTGGAAATTGTTATAAAAAAGCTGAGCCGGGAGCCCCCACCAAGCTGTGTGAAAACGAGAATGCGGGCCCACGTTTCCACTGTGACAGAAGAGGTGGGAAACCCAGACCCACGTGATACGAATTCATGCCGCAAGGAGATTTTTTCCGCGTGAGAGCGTTAGAGTAGTCACGAATTATAAATCGACAGCTAGGCGTTTTTCTTCTCTTTGCCGTGTAATAGTATAAGTGAGGGGAAAGAAAGCGGGCTTGGCAGCAGTGCAAAAGAACAGAGGCTCCTTTATTTGGCAGACCGTGCTAGACAAGCTAATTGGCAGGGTTCTTGGGTGCGTGTCAACCTAAGGCAAAGAAATAAGCATGTTTTTTTTTTGGATTGAAAGAGGCCTTTTTGAAGAGATTCGTCGAGTGCTGTGAAAATAATTTTACGGTTTAGTTTGTGAAAAATAAACCCCATTTGTATCTCCATCTCCCTCTAATAATAGATTTCCCTGCTTGCTCCGTGGACGCGTAGGCCAGTTTTCGAACACATAGATAATTGAGATTGTTTGTGTTTGTGGGCCGATTGTAATAACTTTTAGGATCCCTCGACAGTCAGGTCCTAGAACTGATGAGAGGAAGAGCCGATATCCGTCCTTTGTTGAGAATGATTCGCGTTCAGATTTTGCTCCTTGGTGAGACGAGACATTCTTTATTGCGGATGCATTTCTCTCTATTAAGGATCTTTCTCTCTTATTATACACCAGAAACTCTACCGAAATTTCCGCTGCGTACAACAGTTTTAACTCTAATATATCTCTTATTAAAAAGTTCATATGCAGTTTTTGAAATAGAAGCGATGTCATATTTTGATAAAGCAGAAAATATGTTTCATAATTTTAAATTTTGACTTTGAATAGAAAACCTCCCTTTTTATCGGAGTCTTTGTTTGAAATTTGTGAAGAAAGCCATACGTACAAATCTAGTAGACAATTCTCTCTGACAGATCATACGTCTCAACATTTCGACCTCTTTTCTCATACGTTCATGACTTAGCTCTCCCTATTAAAGCACGTACGCGTACCATAATCTCTATATCACTTTTTTTTTATTTTTTGGGGTGGCTGGGTAGGGTTTTGCGCGAGGGTCTCGATATCACTTTTTCTTTTTCTTTCTTTTTTTTCCTTTTTTTTTGGGTCTCCTTTTGATTTTGGAGTGGCTAGTAATTTGTATTCATTGCTTGCTTCAACTCCAAAAAGTAAATTTGAGGAGATGTCATATATATACCCACAAGGTAGAAACATTTCATAATAAGGAATATATATACTATCAAAATTTACTTTCCAATATAGTTATTTCAGAAATCCCTCAATCGGGTATAAGGAGCAAAAAATAAAGCCTCTATCCGGAGAGCTAACAAAACAATACGACATGAACAAAGCTTAATTAAGAGTGGCCTGGTATACAATCATAAAACATGAATGTAAAACAAAAACAAAAAAAAAGTGTTCCTATGGCAAACATAACCAAAGATGAACCATGGTTAGTCTTTACGTGTATGATCCTGCGTGTTTTGGTCCGACCCTCTAGTATCCTCTGGCCTTGATGGAGATCCCTTGGGCTTCATTATGTGTCTACATGTTCTGAAACATGCAAAGAATCGAAGTTGATAAGCAGAATAAAAGAAAGGCAAAATGGGAGAGGAAAGAGGTAACACAAGTTTTCAATTGACATAAGGGTGCAACTGTCCAAAAACATATGTCAAGCACAAGAAAACATACTCTGATTATCCTCAGATATGCTAGTGTAGAGGAAAAGAAACGTTCATGGTGGTTTCCTCCAACCCAACAAAAAAAAAAAAGAAGGGACCGAAGCTCACAGTATTTTCATTAAATTTACCATTAAAAGGTCTATACGAACTATAATGTGCACAAATGCGAAAAAAAAAGTAACTTAAGATAGATAGCTGATATATCAAGAAGGAAACGCACGCATCTAAAGCTTCTGCCTTTCTCCTTATCTCATGGGACCATAGAACCGGATCAGTGCTCTTGGGGAGTGAATCCTGTTGCTGAGACTTTTCCCTTAGCCACTGCTCGGCTTTGTTGCATTCGTTGATGACCTGCAAACCAAAGACAAAGAGTCTGGGTGCTGCGGTCGAACATAAAAATACTGAGCTGAGACCTATAAGGAACTGTGGAACTTACAGAATCTCGTTCATATGTGGCTAAAGATTTTACAGCCATCCTGTAATCTATTATACACTTCAAAAGCTCCCTTGTTGCTTGAACTCTAGCTTCTTCATCTCTATATCGATTTTCAATAGGATCTACAATCTATCGGTAAACAACAGTAGCCAACTTATTACAGGATGCATAAAACTAATGAGAAAAAAGAATACCAATGTGCAGCTATAAAACAAGGGCAACGGAAACAGAGAAATTCAAAGCAAAACCTTACATATAGAATAAAGTAGGAAAAATAAGAACATGTTATAGAAATAATGTCATTGCAATAGACCAGGGGCAAAGAAATCAAAGCTATAGAAGCACCAAGGGTAAGCATTTCAGCACAACGGACCTAACCATCATAAAGCTTAGCAAATATGGGCTCCAAAATGCAATGGGATCCCCCGACAACTCTTGGTGAAGTAGATTGATTAGAATGTTCTGCGGAAACTTACAGACATAGCACAATCTAGGGGACCGCAAGAAATAGCTCGTGCTCTACTCAATGCTATGCAAGATTCAACTCAAAAAAAATCTAATCAATGCCAAATACCATTGAGAAATTCCATCTTAAAAATACTTAATAGCCCATAACCAAACTCTGGTGTGATAAACAATTTTTTTCCCGCACCAATGCCATTATTGAACATTAATTGGAAACTTCACATAATGGAATTTTCGCATGTGATAGGCCCAGATAATCAAACAAGGCTCAACAACTCAATGGACAATATTCATATTAGTTGTCAAAAAGAACTGGGCCATCTATGTGTTTAATTACAATCACATATTCACAATGGCCTATCAAATGCATGTCTAGGTCATTTCTCGCTAATTTTAGCTAATAAGGATATTGCCAAACAAATTATCTCCGTCTGACAAATTCACTTATCTGTACGTCCTAAGATTCTATCTCAGAACAATCTAAGCTCCACATTTTCTCCTGATAATTTTGATGGTTATAACACATTTTTAGCATGGTATAATCAAATTAACAAAATGCAGCAGAAAGACCAAGTGAGTAACTCACGTTCTATCCTTGAGATTCGAGACCCTTTCACTTAATCATTAAGATTATCTAGATGGACCCTGCACAGAGTGATATTGGATTTGACAATACTTACAAGAAGGGGTGCTATGGATCAGGTTAGAATTGTTACATACTGTATCCCTACTCAAACTACACAAGATTTAAGGATATCCGAATTCTGTCGCCGAATAATCAGATGGAGATGATGATATTGGATTTGACTATACTTAAAAACTTAAAAGTAGGGGTGGCTGTTGATGAGGTTAGAATTGTTACATACTGTATCCATACTCAAACTACATATGGTTCAAGAATATCCAAATTCTGCATGATTTCATCGAAATTGGATCGAGTTTAGAATACTTATTGGATGATTGTATATAGTTTTAGAAGTCAAAAATACAACAAAAAAAAACTTATATCTTAAAATCTACTTGAACCTCCGCATCCCATAATCAGGTTTTGAGTATATCCAATCTAAAATCAGTAACTTTTCATAAAGGAGTTATTAATTTAAACCTTAGCTTAATGTTAGTGGAACTTAGAATTACTATCCAATCCTAAAATTTGGGTTGCTATCAGGTCAAATTAATGGGTTACAGGCCTTCTTTGTCAATCCTACTTAGAAGGGAACATGATGCTTAAAAATTTTGAAAAGAATAGTGATTAAGATAGATGACTACAACTTTAGATTAACTGTTGAAAAAGTATAGAAACTTGACTGCATAATCATGATTGGCTGCTAATCAGGTCTCTGAACACATGAATAGCGAGATGAGTAAGATGACAAAACTTTATATCTTAAAAGATCACTGCTACATTTAATGATTACGGAAAAAAGAAAAACAGTAAATAGGAGCAGAACTAAGAAATTGACTGAGCCAATGAAAAATGAAGGATCATTCACCTTTTTTAAATCTTCAAGCTTGCTAGCATAGACCTTTTCAGTTTCATCATCCCCATCCTCATAGAGCCAATCTTCTGTTTGTTGCAAACTAGTGGAGATGCCTTCCCTTTCAGATTCAGATGCAAAGCTGCGGTACTTCTCAAAAAGCTGCAACAATAGTATCATTTTTTTAAGAATCATCTCAAAAGAAAAGAAAAGCATAAAGAGATGACTGAATTTGAAAATTACCTTGTTGCGGACCTCATATACATAAGCTTCCAATTGATTCTTTCTGTCTTTCGTTTGCTCCATAAGATTGTCTTGATCAGCTAGCTGCTGTTCTTGCTCTTGGGCATGTAATAGTTCGGCTTTTGACATTCCACCATATATAGTCTCATTAACAAGTATTTCATGCCTTCTAGAGGATCTGCTAGTTCTTGCCCTATCATCCTGCAAATGATAATTAATATATATGAATGTTGCTACATTTACATATTTGCTAAACATTTTAATGTAGTAGTATGCTTATCAGTTTTAATGCAGAAAACATATTACAGAGATCTTCATTTTCCTGGACCTCATAGTAAACAGGAATTTTGATTTATAGGACTCCTGCAGCTTTTACATATTTGTGCTAGCGGAAAAAATGTTGCTGGTCGTCAATAAGAAAAGTAACACTACAAAACTTCAAATGATTGCAAACGGTAAGCCACACTTTAATTCATAAAAGTGTATGTATATTCCAAATATAAATATTACATGACAAAAGTTAATACTATGCAGTACGCGCATTTGCTTCCAATGAGGAGAAAAAGCATTGTACTAATTGCTTGTCCATAAAGCAAAACAAATTCAAAAACCGTTCAATAAAGTTATGTACTAGAACTCCCCAAAACAATTAAAATTTGCAAATGCTCCACTCTTCACGAACTGATAAAGGTAAGGCAATGCCAACATCTAACTAAGACTTCTTGTTATTGTCAGGTTCAACATCATCATCATCATCTAAGTAAAAGGTAAACAACTTGTTCAATAGTTTTTTTGGAAGAAAACTGCAAACATCAAGAAATATTCAAATAAGTACAACCTTATGAAAAATCAAATGTTTCAATAATTTCATCTTACTTGCTAAAGGGAGCTCAGACCACAATACAATCTGTTGGCTCATTTCTAGTATTTATTACTTTATATTACTTAATGATTATGAGAATACCAGTAGTATGTCTAATAATCTCAATGATCTCTAATTTAGATCTGGTTAGGAAACACTTCTATCCCTAAGGCACATCAGGACAAATAGCAAATGGTATGATATTACCAAATCTCATCGAAAAAGACTGTTTTCTGAGTATATCCAATGGTTCATATTTTGGTTGCATGAAATTGCAGATCAATGTAGATCTGTAGTTCATGGAATTAGCATTGGAAGGGCAAATCCAGCTATTTTGCTTGTTCCATTATATTTGGGATCTTAATTTGTGAGTTCAGTGTATTGTTGTTTGGTCAGATATATTTCAAATTCATGAATTACACTTTATGTGACCTTTTTAGGTATAAATGTAGTTTGGCTTACCTTCAAATGCAAAAGGTGAACTTACCACCTCTCCAACTCTAGGAATAAAATCCACTCATTTTGTTAAAGAATAGAGTGAAATCCAACTCACTTTCTGAATAAAAAAATGACAAACTCTAATACACCATGTAGGAAATCCACAATCCATACCAAAATCTTCGTTAAGATCAATTTCAAGAATTGAAATTTATGAAATTCCAAATGATGATTGGCGACCAAGTAAAGGTCAATCCTACCCTCAAGGAAAAGCTTCAGCACTGTGAAACTTCGCAACTCTATAAACTAATGCTACTTGTGAAGAAATGGTTGAACTTATACTATATGACACATCAAAGCGACGTTACAGGAACGAAAAAATAAGAAACAGTCAAAACAACCAATGTTTTAAACAGCTAGCGCCTAGCCCACCTAGGGGCCCACCTAGGCCTAGGTAGTACCTAGGTTGTCCACCTAGGTCTTGGAAGTACCTAGGGGAGCATGGACCGCTTACGCATAATGCACCGCTAAGATCTTGGTCATGATTTTCTCCTTTGTAGCCTCCACATCCTCCAACCTCAAAACTCTTCTGGCCTCCATTACTAACAATTAACAAGTCTTCACCTCCTCCATCTTTCAAAAAACCTCCACCACCAGTATAGGTGTTAGTCCGGTTCTAGCGGTGCCCAGTGCTTTTTATAATATTAGCATTTATTATCAATTATTGTAGCTAAAAATATATAGGAAAACCATCTAGGCTCTGCTGCTTTAGGCACCATGTTTCTTACCTAGGTCGCCTAGCGCTTTCTATAACATTAAAAATGACAATAACTATTATATAGTTTCTTATATGTATACCCCTTACTTATCATATTTTCAAATTTATCCTCTAAATCTGATTATTTGTCGATCCCCCCCCCCCTAAAAAGGAAAAAAAGGAAAAAAGCTTTTTCTATGATTATATAATCATTTTTACTATTCATGATACTAATTCATGGATTATGTATTATGATTTTGTCAATACAACTATGAGATTGAATTAGGTATTGGATTTTAGGAAATTTTTTATTTAGTAAGATTTTTACGTAGATTTTCATTTTTTTATTTTCTTTATTTAGATAACTTGAAATTTAATTTTGAATGAGGAGCAAAAAAAAAGATTGGTGTGATAAGATACAAAGTCTTACTTTTTTGGCTAAATTTTAAATGAAAATTTAAGCATAAACCTAAAAAATGAAAGGAAAAAAGAACAAGATGAGGGTATTTTCATTAAACTAAAAATAAAATGAACTATTAACTAAAGAAGGGAGTCAAACTGATTCAATCATCTAAATTTAGGGAGGTTTAATGATCTAACTAATAAATACAGTAGGCTTTTCTAATTCTTGTGGTTACTTTAGGGATTTTTCTGAAAGTTACTCTTAAAAAATAAAAGAAAAGAAGGAATTTTTCAATGAGGAAAGTTGAAGTTCATAAGCCATAAAATGAAAGATAAAGCACAAGCAACTGTTTTCTGTTTTCCCACGCCTGCCATCATACAGCGGCAGAAGTTATGAGGTATGCACTGAGACAGGAAGACTATGAATGCACGTTTAACAACTATGGAAAAAAGACCAATAATATTCAATTTGCATCAATCAAGGAATTCTACGCAATCGATAATTGTCATAAAGCCTAGAAGTCAGTCCATGTAACTAACTCGAATGATTGATATACAAGCATGAAAACCTATATGTTTGATATCTCCATGAATCTAGGATGTTTTTCCTTATCTTGTATCAGTTAGTCTATGCAAAGGACTGACAACATTCGAGACTATAAAGGATTATGCACAAAAGAGTTACATAAAATATTAGGCAGTTTTAAGGTCATCCAGAGAAGCAGACCAACAAATTCTCCCTACACTAGGAACAAGGTTCTAGTCAAAGACGAAGTTGCCAAATTTGTTCTCTGGAATTAAACTTATCTCTGAGGCAAATATTTGCAAACAATGGCAGAAAAAGCTTTCATATACGGTGTCCTAAGAAAGCAATGACAAATATAAAAGAACCTAAGCTAGTGTTGTGCTCTGATGTTAAATCCTTTTACCGCATGTCCCAAGTTAAGATAAAGAAGGAGGGTTGTGTTAGGTAGCTTTCGATGTAAAACTTGGGTCTACATGATATAAACCCTAAAAAATAGATAAAATGCACCAATTTCATAGCTGGATACACTTTATGACTTTAATAGAAGATACCTTTTCAAAACTCTAAAACTTGTAATGGACCCTAATATTTATGTGCAATGAAACTTACATTGGCATGTAAAAGAAAAACATAGGGTATGTAAAAGCTTGAGGGAAAAAAGATTATTTATGTTTTAAAATTAAATTATTCCAGAATAAAGAAACAACATCGTGCAATTTCTTTTTTCTAAGGAATCAGAAATGTAAAGTTTTCGCCTTTTCCTCACTCCATCTCCCTCTAGAATCTACTCTCTCTCTACTTTTTTTTGCAATACTAACTCCATAAATATTCTTAAATATTTTGTTTCAAACGAATATTTAAACACATCTCTCTATCTTTACTCCATGTATATACGTGTGCATTACATAATGATTTTAGTGTTTTACTGTAAACATATCAATGAAAAATGGCATTAGCAAAAATTATTAAAGGTGGATATACTGAAACATGTTCATTCTTCATTAGAAATTTCAAACAAGATAATCAAATATATACATGATTATATATATTTTTTAGTACATTAACCTTTTACAAATCAAAATTATGATGAAAGAAGAGGTCACAGCAGGTAGAAGTTGCACCTGTATCCTGTATGATCCACATGCAAATATTATAAATTCGTAGGACCATCCACATCCAGATGCACTTAAGGATCAAAACCCAGTAACTGGATTTGCTTCAATTTACTGATTATCTATCCAATATTCCGTCTTATATATGACAATTCCTATGAAGTATCAAGTAGAAATTGATAACAGTTCTTACTCTAGAGTGTCACTTTGTTTTTTTTTTTTTCTATGTTAGATTTATCTAAACATAAAATAACATTTTTTCCGTCAATGACCTAAATAACACTATAAACATTAATTTTTTAAGAAAGAAGAGGATTATTTAGATTGAATGAGGGTGTTAAACTTTAAGAAATTTCATGACATGCAGTAACCAAATTAGGATCCTTAAGGATCTCTGCCTCGAGCCAATAAGGAACATAATTTATTGAACAGAATTTATTTCTTATGATTCACGTCCTACAAAGAATCTATTATATAGCAGGATCCAAATATAAATATAAATAAATAAATATCTCGATCGTGATCCATCTAAAAGACCCTGTTGCACTTTGATAAAGTTTAAAAGTTTTGATTTTTTAAACCTTTTTTCGATAGAGTGCAAATGCAGTTGTCATACTTTAGTAAATGGTAAAAGAACTTAAAATAATTTATTTGAAAGAAGATTATTAGTATGACAATGTAGTATAAATACATTTAGGTAAATCGATGACCACCAACTTACAGATGCAGAATGTAGAATATCTGATTGGATGTTTGAAGCTGAATCATGATCAATGTCCATGTATGTATGATTTGCATCCCTTGGAACTGAATCATTTATTTCATCTTCAATCAACTGAAGCAATGAGATTAATGTAATTCAAGTTACAAAGAGGTAAAATATGTCCCATATATGTGTTCAAATATGCCAATAGCAACCATATTTTTCCATACTTACTGATGCTGATTCGACAGCAACAATTCCATGAAGATTTAACCGAACTTTAACTTTGACCTTATGCTTTTCACTTTGAGAAACTTCAAAAGGACCAACCTGCAAAAACAATAAAATCCATTCCATAACCATCTAAACCGAAACATAAAGACACGCAGGATAAAGTGAAACAATTGGTTGTGAACACACTAGCGATATTACAACAATCATAACAACCTCATTTAACAAATGATGCTAGAAATATGCAACCTGCTGCTGCTCAAGGATAAAGATTAGAGTGCCATTACTATATTTCTGTATTTTAACACAGTTTAGCCATTCTATTTTGATCATAATCAAACAAAATAAAATTGGAAAGATAACAGTATGCATAATATAGTAAAGAACCTGCATAAAGAAGAACTTTCATTAACTGGAGATCAACTGCATTGTGGGTTGTCCCTATTCAGGTTGAGTAAGGAGGAAAAAGAAATATGAGAAAGAAAATTGAACAAAAAATGATAGCTACAGTCCATGAAATATAGCACTTCATTTATACAAAAGGAAACAAATAAATGCAAATAGCTATGGACCCTAAAATTTTATAATCAAACATAATCTGGCCAGTCCAAGGAATAGTTGCTTCTCTACGGAAGGAAATAAGTATATGCCAGTAGTTAAAAATTTTAAATGCCAAACACAACTACTGTGCACTAATGTATGCAAACCAACAAAACTGACGCCAGCAAAGACTATCAGTGGTCATAAAGAGAATAGTGGTACACCTCACAATTACATTTTAAACAGAAGAACAGCCAGAATTTTTATCAGTTTACCGATTTACAAGAGATCTGCAAGCTGGCAAACTAATATCAGGTTTTTTATCCATAGTATTGCAGAATACATAAACTTGAAAACTACAGTATATACATTGTAAAGCAGCTGCAAAGCGCAAACAAATTAACCATGCATACATGGTTTCTATTCATTTACCTGTCAGAACATTATACAGAAATACCTTATTGACTCCTCATGTATATTTCTTTACTGACAAATTAATGGTTATAAAACTGCATTCCAGTTGCAAGAACCAATGCATGCAACTATGCTGCAGAACATTCTGGCTTTATCAAAACAAAAACTCATGTTAATTGAGATTGTGAAGGGTAAGATAATAATGCCTTTAAAAAGTGCTAAGAATCAAAGTAACTTGGGAACTTCAAATGAGAAATAGCAAAAACTCATCACCACACGAGGAAACACAAAATGCATGGTTCAAACTCTCGAACATGTACACAGAGCTTCAAGATACCAATAGGGGAGATAGACAAAAGAAGGCGATCATGTACATGACACATGACC